AATAAGGGCTCAAAATAAGCCTATCTACAGTTTACTACATGCCCAAAAACAGATTACACATAGGCCAAAAATAACATGCAAGATTAGGGCCTAAAGGAGAGATAAAGAAGGAAGTGCTAGCTACTATACTCGAACAGCAAGAGGTCCTCAATCAAACATGAAGAGGACCTCAAAATATGATGAGTTACAGTTTGGGTCGGAGCCCAAAGATGCAAGCAACTATGGCTTAGATATGATGCAAGAATAGGCTAGAAAAGGGAAGAAGAGGACTCACCTTTGTAGACCAATGAACCAGTACCTCTTGGACCAAGTTTAGGTGCTCCTAAGCTCTGGAGAACAGCCTCAAGCTGTTGGAATAGGCGTTGGATGCCTTGTGCTATGAGTTGATGAAGAAATGGCCCAAGAACAAAGGTGTTTGATGGTTGAATGAGAGAGATATGGAGAGAGATGGAGGTTTGTATGTATGTATATCAGATATATGTGGTATATCTCTGGTTTTTTTGCCTCAAATCTCTAACCTAAACAAAGGAGGGGGAGAGGTGCTTATATAAGCAATGCTAAGCTTCTAAGACAAGCTTCAAAGGGGCCAAGGGGTTCAAGGGGGGTGCAAGGCTTCTAGAGGAAGCTAAAACAGCTGGCCAAGCTTCTCCAAGAAGCTTGGCCAAAAGGTTCAAGCTTCTAGAAGGTTAAGGGGTTCAAAGGCTCACAAGGTGCAAAACAAACACACATGCACGTGGGGGATCGATTCTGTGCATTCCAGCTGGCACAGCTGGAATCCACTAAATCTGTAGAATGCTTCGGAAGGCCGTCGGCTAGCAAAAATTGCCGGCCGGATAAATATAGTGCCGGTGGATGGCCGGTAAGGTCAAAAAACTGCCGATTGGTGTTCAAATTGAAGCCCCGGAAGTTAGCTTTCCAATGGCGCAAACCTTGCATCAAAATTCCTCCTGTGAAAAAAGTTATGCCCTTTTTCGTGAAGCCGCGCAGATTCGATCCAACCGGGATGATGCCCGACTTCAACTGACCATATCTCCCCCGCCCGGACTTGGCTCTAGGAGATTCTTGAGTGCAAAGTGAAGCCCCGGAAGTAAGCTTTCCGACGGTGGTGGCCCCATAGCTAAACTCCAAGTGTATAGATTGATAAGCCCGATTCAGCGAGGGCTGCTCAACTCGCTTCCACCCGGATTCATGCCGAACTTCTCCCAAACTAGTTTTCTCCTCTCCTTTCCTCTTTTCTTCAACTCCAAAAACCCTAAACAAAGTGTTTTGAAAGATTTGCCTCTCTTCTTGCCAAAGAAACTGATTCTTTGCCCTGCACATCTCTCAACACCGAGCAAACCATTAGTAGTGCCCAAGTCTTAAGGGCGGTCAAAAATGGGGTGTCTACACATGTGCATTGGTGCGCCTAGGAACACAGTGTTTGCCATCTGCCATTCCTGAACAGTTTTCCGGAGGCTTGTCTTGTCAAGACATGTCCATAAGGCTGACCGGCTATGGGCTCTGACAGCATGGAAACACAAACCCCGGTTTTACCGGGGCACCCTTTCTGGCCATTCGACCTAGTACATATTCGGATCTATAGTGACCATTCCAAAATAGGACAGGTTGCTCACCCGATGTTAGGTTGTTTGAAACTGCTGCGTGCATAGTGAAACCCTAGCTCCTGACAAAATAGGACAGCGAAACCCTACCCCAACATAGGGGTGTTTTGGCTCTGTTTACTTGCTATGTGCTTTTAGAGTGTATCTCTACAGAAAAGTACATACCAGTTCGCAAGTATGAATATCCGGCCCGAGGGCACTAGAATCAGTATTATTGAGAATCAGTTGTCAAGAATCAGTTATCCGTGGGTATCAGATTCAGTATTTTGGGAACAGAAGTTCGGGGAACAGTGATCAGTATCTGGGAATAGTGTGTTCGGTTTACCCACTGTGTGTTGTGAATGCCCAACTGCGTGTTGTATGTGTTTATTTTAAGCAGTTATGCTGTTCGATTGCTTGTTTATTTATCGCTTTATTTATCTTTTGCTAGGTAGTTTAGCACCATTGCTTCCAATCCAAAAGATATTCCCCGAGCACTCTGGATTAGAGGTCGTCGGCTCCATCGATCTGAGGGTCTGATAGACGGACAACCAGTGTACCGCTCCCTACCGCCGGTTACTAGACGGAGGACAGTCGGGCAGAGGATATCAGTTCAACGGTCAGTTCAGAGGGCCTTATCTACCCCGCCTGAGTTCAGAAGGGATCAGGGTCCTGTTTCACCTACCGAAAGAGAACATATACCAGTAATCCAACCAGAGCAGAATAGTATGGCTAGCTTAGAGGAGATGGTGCGCCAACTCCAAGACAGCATGAAAATGATGCAGCAAGATGCTGTTCGGCAGGCAGAGTTCGCCAAACAGCAGGCCACGGTTGTGAGTGAACAAGCAGATTTAATCGTGAGATTGCAGCAGCAAACTGGAGCGTCGGCTTCACTGCAAGTCCCTCCTTCCCTAAGGGTCCCGATACCCGAAGAAACGCCGAATATCCAGAATGTCCAGGAGGATACTGACCTTCCAACGGGGCCAGCTCCGCCCCCGATTCCGCCTCAACTATCCAAAGCACCCACCCCCATCAATCAATCGGATTCTCCCTTCGAGTCCGAGGTAGACCCCATGGCATTAAAAATGCGCAAGCTTGAAAAGCTATTCCAGAAATCTCAAGGTATGAAGTCCATTCCGGACATTGGAGACGGATACACCGACGCAGCCGTGACGCTGCCAGACCGGTTTAAGATGCCACAAATTTATCGCTTTGACGGATCTGGGGACCCTATGGTTCATTTGCGATTGTTTTCAGACATCCTAAGGCCGATGGGCCTCACTAGACTGCAGAAGCTGTCATTATTCGGCCGGACCCTGTCGGGTGTAGCGGCCACATGGCATGCCAAATTGGAGGATGACGTCAAGAGAAGATGGGACGAGATGGCTGAGGCCTTCATCCTGCAGTACTCATACAATACGCAAATCGAGATCACGACCCGGGACCTTGAGACAACGAGGCAAGAACCCAAGGAGAGCTTCTCCGAGTTTGTAGCCAGATGGCGGGCTAAGGCTTCGATGATGACCTTAAGGCCCACAGGCAAGGACTAGATTCGGATGATTGTGCGCAATCTTCAGCCGAAGCTAATGCAAAAGATGATTGTAGTTCCCTTTCCCACCTTTGCTGATCTGCATGAAATGGGCGTGCAGATCGAAGATGCCTTAAGACAAGGGTGGATTGATAATGACCGGGAGCAACCCCGCAGAAATTTCAATCGTAATACTAATGCAGGCCCGAGCGGCGCTACGACTACCAGGACCTCCGACGTAAGTATGGTCACCACCAACCCTCCCCCAAGAAATACGGCAGCCACACCATTCTCCGGTGCGTCCAGAAGCAACTCACAAACAGCCAAATACCCTCCCAGAAATACCAGAAATTTTCCGGTGCGTCCGGAAGCAACCCACAAACAACCAAATACCCTCCCAGAAATACCAGAACCTTCGCTCCACTTTATATGCCCCTGTCTAAAGCTTTGGGGGTTTTGATCAGAAAAGGGCATCTGAAGCCCCTAGAGCCACGACCCTTACCGGAAAGACTCCCCTCTGCCCACAATCCAGCCAAGTATTGTGCATTCCACCAATAGCACGGTCACGACACCGACTTGTGCTTTCGATTGCGCCATGAGATTCAAGATCTCATTGATAACGGGGTGATTTTACCTCCCGAGAAACCCAATGTTACTACAAACCCTCTCCCCACACATAATCAAGCTCCACCACCCAAAAGAATCAATTTTATCCATACTGGGGTCGTGTCCTACGATCCTAGCATCTATATCACACCTTCCCACCTACCCAAACCGGAAGTTTTCTTTCCTGATTGCACCGATTTGTGCATGATGGATATCTCCGTAACCCAACCCTAGCCAGCGGTGGTGACCATTAAGAGCAGGAAAGAGAACACTCCAAAGAAGAAGGGGGTTGTCAAGCCAGAGTCTGCGAAGTCTGGGAGCGATATGGAGAATGCTCATAGTCCGAGTGACTACATTTCACCGATGGGCCAGAACAGACCAGATGTGATGTTTCCGGCCGAGGGAGAGCTGTGTGCAATCCAAGGGGACAGTCCAGGACGGGGAACAGATGATTTGACAGTTATGGCAGAGGATCTTGCCAAGTTCCAGTTTTACAGTGGCCAAGATCTAGAAGACTCAGCCGTCAACTGGTTCGATTACGAGGAATCGGTAGAGGCCACGGGATGGTTGGACGATCAGCCAGATATGGTAGGAGAGTTTCAGTCAGAACAAGGCCCGGCAGGGGCAGGAATATCGGTAACAGCCAGGAACATCGAGGAACAAAGTACATCGCCGGGGGGCGTCGGTGTCGAGAGTTTCGCTTAGGAATGGAGCATTTTGAGTACAGGGATTACTGAACAATTTACTGCATTGACACAGTTAGATCAGGAGAATTTTGAAGACTCTGAGAGAATCAGGAAGGCAAAAGCCCATGTGAGGATTGAGACTGCCGCAAGTACAGAAATGGAGAATGCCGTGAGCATAGGAATAGAAGGTACTGCAAGTATCGGAACAGTCATGCCAGAACCAGACAGGTGCATGTCGACTGCGGATGGAATGTGGTGGGAGGATGACGATCTGTGTCTGGCCCACACCGACGAAGATTGGGGGAATCACCAACCGGATGATACCTGGTATATCGGCGAAGTCGATCACATGACTAGGAGTGGACGGTATTTCAAGCCTCCACATCTGGATCAACCAGAGGCGTCTGGAAAGGATAGGGAGGCAGAGAAGCAAAAGGAAAAGCAACTCGAAGACGAGGCCGTGTTGAGACAATTAAAGAAGATACAAGCAGACATCTCCATTTGGGGACTGCTTATGGCTTCTCGAGTACATAGATTCCGGACATTGGAGACGGATACACCGACGCAGCCGTGACGCTGCCAGACCGGTTTAAGATGCCACAAATTGATCGTTTTGATGGGTCTGGAGACCCCATGGTGCACTTGCGACTATTTTCAGACATCCTAAGGCCAATGGGCCTCACTAGACTGCAGAAGCTGTCTTTATTTGGCCAAACCCTGTCGGGTGTAGCGGCCACATGGTATGCCAAACTGGAAGATGATGTCAAGAGAACTTGGGACGAGATGGCTGAGGCCTTCATCCTGCAGTACTCATACAATACACAAATCGAGATCACGACCCGGGATCTCGAGACAAC